TCTCTCTCTCTCTCTCTCTCTCTCTCTCTCTCTCTCTCTCTCTCTCTCTCTCTCTCTCTCTCTCTCTCTCTCTCTCTCTTTTGGAACAATTTGGATAATTTCTTGATTTCTGCATGTTATCCTTGCACAGCGGCCATGCTGCATATCATTCCAAATTGTCTAACAGATTTCCCGAGGGACAGTTGTATAACTTGTGTCCCATTTTGTGATGTCCCGTTTTCTCTTCTTCTTTTCGAAAAGCGGATAAACCCTAATGTTATTTCCATTTGATTACAGCAGGATTTGAACTCATGATCTAGTTATTAACAGTTACACATGTGTGCCATGAACCCACATGGGCAGGGTATCCCATCACATCATCATGTATCTGCTGTTCACAGCTTCTCGCCCTTTTTTTGCTGCATTCGGTTGTTCATCTGTACCGCTTCCCTTCCATAAAACCCAATCCTAGTTGCTGCAGTGGCACAGCCATTTTCTCTCCTCTCATCCCCTCTCCTCCTCCCCGTTTCACCGCCTCTCTCCCCTTCCCGTTATACCTTGCTTCCTCTTTCCGCTTTTTTCACTGAATGTTCTACCTTTTAGCTTCTCCTCCTCCTCCCCTCTCGCCTCCTCCCTCTTCCCAGCATCCCCCTCCTCCTCTCCTCTTATTCTCCTATCCTGTTATCCCCGTCCCTCTCCTCCTCCTCCTTCTCCTGCTCCTCCTCCCCTCCTCTCCTTCGTCGCCCTCCCTCTCCTCCTCCTCTTCCTCCTCCTCCCCCTCCTGTTCTTCGTCTGAAAATCATTGCTGGGACTATTGCTGGGCCCAGCATGGTTCTCAGACACTGAGATTGCATGGTTCTCAGACATGGTTCTCAGACTCGGTGTCTCAGTCAGAGCCATGCAGATCAGCATGGCTCACAGATTTCAGTGTCTGAGAACCATGCAGATCTGGTTCTCAAATTTTCACAATCTGGTTCTCAATTTTTCACAATCTGGTTCTCAAATTTTCACAATCTGGTTCTCAAATTTTCACAATGTGGTTCTCAAATTTTCACAATCTGGTTCTCAAATTTTCACAATCTGGTTCTCAAATTTTCACAATCTGACAACCATGCAGATCAGCATGGTTCACAGATTTCAGTGTCTGAGAACCATGCAGATCTGGTTCTCAAGTTTTCACAATGTGGTTCTCAAATTTTCACAATCTGGTTCTCAAATTTTCAGAATCTGGTTCTCAATTTTTGACAATCTGACAACCATGCAGATCAGCATGGTTCACAGATTTCCGTGTCTGACAACCATGCAGATCTGGTTCTCAAATTTTCGCTATCTGGTTCTCGAATTTTCAGAATGTGGTTCTCAAATTTTCACAATCTGGTTCTCAAATTTTGACAATCTGACAACCATGCAGATCAGCATGGTTCACAGATTTCAGTGTCTGACAACCATGCAGATCTGGTTCTCAAATTTTCACACTCTGGTTCTCAAATTTTCACAATCTGACAATCATGCAGATCAGCATGGTTCACAGATCTCAGTGTCTGACAACCATGCAGATCTAGTTCTTTTCTCTTTGCTTTTTTTTTTTTTTTTTTCCCAATCAAAACAGGTCCTTATGGTCCTGCTGGCTCCATATCCACTCTGGGGAGCGTCAGTCCGGCTCCTTTCCACCGGCATGTCAAAAACTTGGAATACGTGGTGAACACTCTCATGCTTCCTTCCGTCTTGGCCGAAGGAACCGTGAGAGTCGTCTATTGCTGAGCATCCTCCGTAAAAACTACTAAAAACTTAAAAAAGTCTTGTGTTTGCTACTTGAGAGTCATCGCTTTACTATGCTGCGCAAGTGTTGCGTGAGTGCCACTTGTTTTACCATGCTAACCTCTTCTAAGTACCGTTCTACGTTTAATGGATGTCCTGGAGGACCTTTTTTTTTCCATTATTAGGACCAAACACCAAACTATTGTAGCCAAAAGTGAAGCAAATCCTTGGCCCACCAGTACCTTCCCCTGTTTGAAACCCAAAAACTTGAAAAAAAGCGCGCCGGTATCTTCGAAGCCAAACGGGATCCAGCCGCCGTTGATAAATTTCATTGGCGGCCCGTTTTTTTTCCCGTTTCCCATGTTTCGGGCCTTTTTTTTTTTTTTTTTTTTTTGGGCCTTTTTTTTTTTTGCCGGCGGCCGATATATGGGAAAGCTACTGGTGGTTTCATTACCCTGTTCTGGCCACTAAAGCTTCTCTTCAAATAGTGCATACTCACACTAGGCACACAAAATTGCAGAATAGCAAAATCAGTGGCCAAATCACTCATTTAAAGTCATTTTGCTATTCTGCGATTTATTTTTATTTTTATTTTTTTTTAATTATTATTGTTATGATTTTTAACACACAGGCCCCATCTATTCTGGGGGGGCTAGGGGGAAACACTTTGAATAGAGTCTTTAGAGTCCATTCACCAAGAACATCACCGACCTACACCAAATGAAAGACGCTTTTTTTTTCTTTTTTTGAGTCCTCTAGCAAAGTTCGTTGGTATTGGATTTCAAATTTTCTGTGTGACCATTGTAATTTGTAACGTTATTAAACCAGTGCTGAAAACCCGGTAGGACCGGGGGGTCCTCCCCCAACCGGAACCGGACCGGTCCTACCGGCCGGTTCCCCCCTGGTTGGCTGTAGCGCATCTTTTTTTTTTTTTTTTTTTTTTTTTTTTCAGGACCCTATCACAGAGGACCAAATGC